TTTTAAAAAATGAAATAAAAACGTATTCGAAGTTTGAATTTGCCGTCTCTAAGTACCCTGAACGAAATGCTATCCTTGGCTTTCGAGCTGCGGTGAACCTAACGGGTTACCAGGGTTCCGGCTCGAAGTGCAGGAGTAGGAACGGGGTAGTTCTTAGTCAGTAAGAGTCTGACACTCTCTCGTGCAACTTAAAGATTTCGTGGTCAGTTTGAAGTGCAAATACTCTATGCCATGACGCTAAACTGTAGCCAGTATCAGATGTCTATGGACTAAAATTTAAATATATTTTCCATACATTCACCTCACTGGAAATTATTGGAAATAATCGAAAGAATATAACACGATACAAAGTCCAACACATGCCATGACTAACAATGTTGTCGAGTTTATGTAACTTCTGATAAGAATTTTTTTTTTATTAAAACAAACGATTTACGTCACCACTGTTTATGCGGAGAGTTAAAGAAGATAGGTCTAATTTTTGCGAGTTCATCTTAAGGAAGCCATACACGCTAGGTTATGCATGATGGTTGTAACTTTGCAAGCAAACCCGACAAGCAAAACCGAGTATCATACCACGCATATACGTTAGGTTTTTGCATGTACATGCACCGATAACTGTACCTACAGTTTAATCACATACACGCTAGGGTTTGCTTGTCGGTCCAAACCATCATGCAAAACCTAGCGTGTATGGCCACCTTTAGGGGCGTAGGCTCCGGCTCGAGGCCGGAGTACCAACGGCATGGGATTTTTGTCATTGTCAATAACAGTCAGACAGTTCAACAGTACTTCTTGCCTCACCCAAAGCGGGTGGTGTCATTAAATGATTTTCTCCTCTCTAAAAAGGGGTACATTACCTATAGTGAAATGAGGCTGACTTTGCTAAGCCTTTTCTGCAATACCCCGTATTTATTAACCACTTTGACCATCAGTGAAGAAATATAAATTTTCTACGGTAGGGAAGTTGGTTAATTACTTACACTAGTATTTAACAAGTTACGTCACATATTAGTGATTTTACGTATAAGCTTGTAAACTTGGAATTGGCAACAACTACAGTGAATGTTTACGATAAGCTTTTTATTCTGATTGGGGTGGCTAAGGGTGTGTTTATCATGGCTCAATTGTCATTGCGTCATTGGTATTCATTTCATTATGAACAACAGTAAATAACATGACCACTGTTGACATGTTTGGCTTTGTATTGTGCCCATTTTTAATATTCCAAACTTTACCTATGTTACTAGGTAGAGGTACCTACTATCTAACCACTATGATACATAATTGGGATTTTCCGATGAACATTCAAAAACATTGTCAAATCTTCTGATTCTGATAAATTTTATCTCAGATTTGACAGTATTTAGGTATTTTTTTCAAAATATCTGGAAAGTCCACAATATGGTACAAAGTCGATGTTATCTCTGGACATGTGGACTACACCTTCGATGAGCTGAGATGATAATAGGGATGATGTTATGTTGGTACCTATCTAGCTATATCTGCATGTAACTGGTTAGTTACTTGGGTACCTAAGCGACGATGCTTAGAGAATACCTAATAAATTGATGTCCGAGTCTACAATTTGCTACGATCGTCGAGTCGAGAAATCGTATGGTTTCTTATTATCGAGATGATGAATTAGATTCATTTAACCGCTGTTTTTAGGATTCAATTTATTAGACAAAGAAGTCTTTGAAGATCCAAACGTTCTTAAAAGTGTAACATTTTCTCGTTTGAGTTGTGGGACTTCATGCTCATTTTGCCCATCGTGACATTTAATGCTTACTTAGGTAAATTCAGTAAATATTGCTATATCAAGAAAATACTACGCTCTAATTTAGCACCTAGAAATCTACCCATATTCCTGAAGACACAGAAAGGTTTTCTTAGTTATTGTTTTAATAAAATAAAATACAATCCAAATTCTATATTTCTGAATAATTATTAGGTTGACACCATTTCCTAATTAATGCCCACTACCTATTTATTATTATAGCGGAATATTTATATTCCATCTTTCTTTCTTCTTCCTCACTCTCTTGAACACATGCGGTGCAAAGGTTGTCGCTTGGTAAATGAGAATGAATTTTACTTTTTTATTTTTGTAGGCGTTGGCAGCGATTTGCCATCCGATTGGGAGAAGAGATAAATATGACACGATTATCTGTATTATTTAGAGAAAAGCCTGATAACGACTACACACATTTTACAAGAAACATATCTATAGTATTTTCCACAACCACTTAGATAAGTAGTCACCATGTGAGCCCGTGTTTAGTGCCCAAATAAAGTAAGACAAGGAGGCAACATTTTTTTAGATAGTACATTGTAAATTGAAGCTTTTGACAAGAAGTTAAAGTTCTATATCAAAATAGCATGCTAGTAGCTAATTGCTGAATATTTTAGTATATTGTGGTGATGGTTTGCTATGCTTCTAATTAATTGCTTTTATTGTATCCAATATTTGCTTTTGTAGTGTCTATATTTGAAGTGGGGATCGAATTAAGCTAGTTCTATATACAAAGTTTTAAATAGCTTGGTAAACTAGTTAACTGATCACAACATCATCATGGTTTCTACTTTAACTTTAGCATAATGTACGGAGATTTTTAGATAAAATATTGATTTAATAAAGGTAGTAATAGTACTTATAGTACCTATGTATACTCGATATGAGGTTGATATCTATTATTTAGTACCTTAAATATCGATCTTGTGAATGTGTAAATATGACTTCAATCACTTTATTAATTAAAATATTTATTACAGCTATAGTTAAATTTAATACCTACTAGGTACTGTTAATATAGTGTTTTTTGTGGCTAGATCTGTACTATTGTCAATTGGTATATGAACAATTTATTTTTAAATGTATTTTGAAAATGATAAAAATGTAAATAGGTACCTATCACATGACTTACATAATACCTGATAGAATGTTTACTTTGGCAATTTTTCTATCGACAGAATTCGTTAATTTTTTTCTATGCCTAGGAGATCTAGCAATCTACAAATAGATGTAGGTTATTAGAATAACATATTAAATCTACCTCACATGGCACACACGTGGTGTTGTGCAAGATACTTAATAAAATATTATTCAAAGATTTAAAAAATATTTCAATATGCTCACCACTTATTACGTGGGACTCATAATATAAATAGTGAAAAGTGGGTGCTACTTCTGTCTACCCCTTCGGGGATAATAGGCGTGATTTTATGTTATGTAAAAAGTATTTTTGAAAATCATTAACCTTTATAAATATTTATTTTTAAAAGCTTTGTGCAAACTTGAAAGTTGCTATCAATTAACAACTTCATTTCTATTTGTTCATAAAGAATAATTAGAAGTAGGTACCTATTTATAATAAGTACCTAAGTGGGTACATCATTTTCACAAGTTTTTGTAATCAACAGGATGCAAACAGATTAAGAAGACTAAGGGGAGGGACTTAAGGGAGGACCTTTGTCCAGCAGTAGACGTCTTTTGGCTGTTAGTAATAATGATGAAAGAGATTAAAAAAATGGGTTTATTTTTTTTTTCGTTTTGAAATATCTAAGTGCCTAAATTTTTATTAAAGTGGTAAGCCTGTAAACTAAGAAGGTAATACTTAGTTTCATTCATGATCTTCAGACTGTGTAAACTATAAGATATAATTGGAATGAAGATTTCAAACCATAGAAAGAACAGATACTTATTTAATTTTATATGCAAAGAATTATAAGAATAATGCAGTAGTTACTTGATAACCTATCGGAAAGATTAACTAGGAACTTCACATTTTTTTTAAGGTTGCAAAAGTAGAATAAGTTTTTCAAAACTATATTCTATTTTTTACATATTAATTTGATTAATTACCATAGTGTTTACACCTTACTAAAAGCTGCTGAGGAAATTGTTAAATTTAGAAAAAATGTGACCAATTAATCCAAAGTTTAACACAATTTGATTTTCATTATTTAGCGGTTTAAAATATACCCTAAAATTAACTAAAAACTACCACAAAAAATCTACACTCAATCATCGAAAAACAAAACACAAACAAATAACAATTGCGAAAATTAAAGAAGCATGAGTAAAAAATAAGAATGACTTACTTTTGGAATTGGAGCGTAATTGGAACTGGTTTGTCCACGAGCGGGCGTCGGGCTGAAGTGATGCGAATTCTGGTTGCCGGCTGAAGCTAGGCTCGTATGGTCCCACTAACTCGACTTTGCCCCTCCCAACATAAGCACTTTGCTAGTTAAACCTCCTCAGTACCAGAGCGCAGTACATTATTGCCATTTGATCATACCACACGTCTATAAAATCTTATTATTTCACGTCATTTTAACTCCAAGTATCAAAGAGCAATTTTTATCAGAACTTGTTTTTAATTCGTTGTATACCTACTTCGGTATTCATAGTGCGCCGTCTCGTGACATCATCGCGTCTTAAACTCGTACAAGTGTTATTGTGTAGGTAATAATTTCCGCATTCATAGTAGCGGTTGTAAACAATCTGTTACAATAGATCCACGTGACAATTCGCGGTTAAGTAATTTCTTGTCTTATTGCTCTTGTAGTAAGGTTGAAATTGGTTCTATTTGATCTCTATTGTTTGTATTAGCTGATAAAGTTGTTTGAGAGTTCAAGTGCAAGGTAATATGGGTGAAAATTGCTTACTGGCCTTGACCTCAACCTCAACTGAAATGTTAGCCAATAATTAAAACATAGTGTTCGGTAATAAGAAACGAATACATAGGAAATAACTTTAATTTTAGGATTTAAATTAAAAAAATAAACTGACTAACAGAAAAACCGTTGAAAACAAATACTCCGCCAACTGCCGGACACCGGTAATCATCGGTTGCCGAGGCGGTGTTTTTATTTTTAAATATCTCAATCACGTCACGTGTCATACCTAACTTAGCGAATACAATAAAAAGGCTCGAAATAATAGGTTTTGAAAATGCAAGTTATACGGTTTAGTTATCAAAAAAATAAAATTTGGGAATGTAGGTAAATCTTTATTTTCTTATTGTAAAAATTACATACATAATTAAAAACATCTTAACACATATTTAAAGTCTTACAAACAGTTACAACAACATGTAGTTGTACAGCCCTTAAAACAAGGAAGCCGAGGTAATGAAATGGCGAATTAAAAATCGATAGGACATTTAGAGTAAGTAGAAAAAGAAAGAAAGGAAATTTCTAGAACCAGAAAATAGTCACAACGGCATTTAACGACCTCAACTTCGCTTGATTAGTCAAAAACCAAACACTTATAACAAAACATACCAAGAAAGCTGACAAAACTGTGTTAATCGTTAACATGAAAAAATCATAAAAAGTTTATCAATTTAAACTTTAAGTTAATATGCATGCAATGCAAGTAATGCACGTTTCAAGTCAAAAATCACAAAAATTTTATATAACTATAATTAACAATACCACTGGCACAATTATACAACATATACAGTTGTAATTATAATTAATTAAATTATTGTAAGATCACTTTCAGTCAACTAAATAGCTCGCAATAACGAGTTATCTGATCAAAGAGTTCATATTGAGTAATGATTTAGCTGCCTTCGAATCCGTTGGTTCTTTCTTCTTGGATGGGTCCAACATGAAGCATTTCCATAGCCTGAAATAAATATACAATTGAGTTTACATGTGTCAGAACAGTAATCAATCAAGTGAAAACAAAATGTATGATCGCCCCACTCTTAACGGTGACGTAAAGCACTCGAATTTGGCATACCATTTAACATTATTAAATCAACAAGTGCCTCTACTACATAACACGAAGATTTTTATTAAATATTTACGACTAAATTATTAATATGGCTGGGTTTTGTACTGGTAAAAATGGAATATTTATTTTTTATAATTTCTGCCACTTTTTCATCCGAACGGTGGAAAATACACCTTTTCACTTTCGTACTCTTACTCATTAATAACAAAACTTTCCGCCCGCGGCTCTGCCCACTTGGTGTAGGAAAATAATAAGTCTTTATCACTTTATTCTCTTAGATACTAAATTATTTTAATTCATTGGGTTTTATAAGCAATGATATATTTTAAATATTTCAGTACATATAAATTTTGGACTTTGTTTAGGTAGTAATATTTATTTTGTAATCGGGCTTTTTTCACCAAATAAACATTTTTATTTAATGATTCTCCAAACAATCTCCAACGAAACAAAAATTACAGAAGAAAATATGTCTTAACATACCTGAGTGTTTCATCAGCGCCTGCAGAGAGTACGGTAGTCCCATCAGGTGAGAGTGCGAGATGTAGTACTCTTGCCATGTGTCCGTTGAGCTCAGCGACACGTGACATGACGGGATACTTCCAGATCACGAGCTGGTTGTTGGCGTAGCCGTGGCCGGAGATCAGTTCTTTGTAATGCGTGCTCCATACGATTGAGCATACCTAGACAGAGACGATGTTTGTAAGATATAGGGTTTTCACTTTTTTTGATATGGTCTTAAGGTGCTGCCTAACCGGGAGCATTCACATATAATGTTACATTATAGATTCGACTTTTAGCATTATATTACAATAATACCTCCCTGACTAACGAGCATTTGCGTGTAATGTAACATATTGATTCGACTTTGAGCATTTCATAGCAAGCATTTGATGTGACAAGTTGTATCAAGATATTACACATTGTATCATTACAAGGTGTACAGTAATGTTCAGTTCTCCTCCTTCACTGATGTACTGGTCAGATCTGTAACGTTACATTACACGCGAATGCTCCCAGTGAGGAAGCACCTTTATACTTACTATTATATAAAGCTAGAGTGTTCGTTTAAATGCACTAATCTCCGGAACTGCAGGTCTTACTTGAATAATTCTTTTTGTGCTGGATAGCCCATTTATCGAAGAAGGCTACAAAAGTTTGTTGGCCATGGCGTTCTGGTATTTAGTGTCATCTCATCACAAGTTTTGTTGAACTTGTAACCACACCCGTTGCTGACCAATGTTGGCGATATTCAATAGAGGACTAAAACGCCAATCACTACAATACACCTTTATCCTTTTATCTCTTCATTACTTTTACTAGCGTTAACTTCCCTAATTGTGATGTTGATTGTGACTCTTTATTTCTAGATCATAGTTGTGCCTGCTATGTACTATTTCATTTAGTTCCCCAAAGGACTTAAAATTAGTCTTATTTTATACTATCTGACCCGACAAACTACATATGTTTCGACAATGCTGATAGATTTGAAATGAAATTTTCTTGTCTGTAATTAGGTCTTACCTGTGACTTAGTATCGACAGTATTGATGTTGGCGCCAGTCTTGATGTTCCAGATGCGTATAGTTCTGTCGGCAGTCCCGCCTCCACTGGCTAGTATACCGGCGCTCCAGGGACACCACGCCAGGCCCTTTACTGCTGCCAAGTGCTGACTGCAAGTGAAACAGTTCGAGATGTAAGAAATTGATAGTTTTCAAATGAATAAAGTTTAAAGTTATGTTCTTTATCTATACAATGTGTAGTTTTGAAGCCGAGTCATTTCTCGGGGGCATGTCAAAGAAGTCATAAAGGTTTAATGTAAAAAAAAATTTCGGGCCAATAGTTAAAAATGCGGCCATGATAAATTGTTTAAGTTCGACAGTATTTCAGAATAAGCGACAGTAATGTTTCTTATTGGAGTTTTATGGAATTAGGAATAATATCAATTACGTGTTTGAATTTGTGTGTGTTATGCCGTGTTATAAAGCTAGTTACAAGACGGCGGCGTGTAGTTCGCACTTACGGATTTCCGTAATTTACAGAAAAATGAGAAATATTTTTTACCTACAATTTTTTTTGTTGATTCGGACTCGGAATCGGTTTCCGAGTTACCTCCTATAAAATAACGCGGCTTTAAAACAAAACTTATTTTATTATTAGAAGAAAAGAAAGAAAGAAAGAAAAACCATTTATTTCTGCGCAAAACACACATAACATAATTATTTAAAAAATAAAAAGAAAACAAAAAAAAGCTAAAAAATTAAAATGAAGTGAGATCTTGTCCATGGTCCACAGACTTATTATTTTACTTATTATGAGAATGGCTGGCCATAATTTGAGAATGGCTGGACCGATTAGGCAGATTTTTTTTTTGTTGTGTTTGTTATTGTCAGGAGAAGGTTCTTATGACAGAAAAAATCCTGAAAATCCTACGGGAATGGGAGAAACGGGATTGGGCGTACGAAGTCGCGGGCAGAAGCTAGTACTATTATAGTGACTGTGTTATAAAATGTCAAGGCAGGCAGACTGTTTAAGTGTAAATTAAAGTATTTTAAACTATGGAATAGTGATTCTTACATAACTAAGATGACTTCAGTGATACAGAAAATATTGAAACAAAAAATATATTTACTATACTTCAAACAAAATTATAAGTCCCTTATGAAGGATGACAACTTACTTGAACGAGTACAGGTGCTGTGTTTGCGAGTAATGCTGTCCTTGTGCAATTGGCCAGATATTGAGTAAATTGTCGTTGCCGCCCGATGCAAGACATTTACCATCCGGAGACCATTTTAACCCGCAAATCTGTATGGAAAAGAAAAAATATATCATCATATTCAACTGTTTCTTTTCACACAGATATTGATGATAGAGTTTTCATCAAAATCACTATCCAGAGTGATTTTTAAGGGAGATTTAGGTGAAGGTTTGAATATCGCAGGTGGAAGCTCTCCGTATTGAAATTTGAATAGTACAGTGCTTACCTCCTGTGTATGCGCATGTATGGTGGCGACGGCGTGGTCTCTCTGTCGCACGTCGTGGTGCACGATGTTCCCGTCGCGCGCGCCACTGCTCACTATGTACATGTTCCACGCTAAGGACCCTACACGACCTGTGTGACCGTCCATTACCTGATAGAAAGTAGAACAACAATATTTTAGAAATTGAGAAAAGGCATTGATTTTGTTTCAAAAGGTGCTTTGATTTACAAATTTGTATTTTAATCTTAAGTAATGTGTATGTGAGTACGAAATTATTGTTATTTATTATTTGCGCCTAACTTGCTAAACTAATTTCACAATTGATTTAGCACGATTTTTTTATGGGGAAAAATCGTCCAATGGCTTCTCCCGCCTTGGGTTAGGCGAAAGAAGAGAGAGTGTCAGACTCTTACTGACTAATAACCACCCCGTTCCTACTCCTGCTTTTCGAGCCGGAGCCCCGGCAACCCGTTAGGCCTTCCGCGGATCCGTTGATTTAGCCTCATGGAGATGATTATAGCTACTTTTCTTTGTAAACACCTAACTTGACAGGGGGAACTTACGTAATCGAAATGTATAACTGGAATTCTATGAAACCATGAATAAAAGTTTACACCAACTTATACTATACTATACTTAATATACACACCCTCAGCCTCTTAATCTTCTCGCAGTCCCATAACTCTACAGTCGCCGCAGAAGTTCCTACAGCGAGATGGGAGCCGCCGCCCTGCACCCATTGTACTGAACATACAGTTTCAGATCCTTCCAGAGTACAGAGCTGTTCTATTTGACCTGTACCTGCGTTCCACAGGTAGACTGAGTTGCCTAGAGCCACGGCAAGGATGTTTGATGCACTCCAGTCGACTAGATTGAGGTCTGTAAGCGTAAGAATTAAGAATATTAGATAATCAGTCTTTTAGAGGTATGTTTTTTTTAAGGGGGGAAAATCATCGAATGGCGTCTCCCGCCTGGGTGAGGTGGGAGGGAGTGTCATACTCTTACTGAATTAAATCCACCCATTAATACTCCTGCACTTCGAGTCCCGATAACCTTTTACGTTCTCCGCGGCGTCTTTTAGGGATATGGGGATAATACTTTAGGTGATATAATAGCAAGATTTTAACGATTATTTTTATTTGCTTTATAAATGGAAAATCATAGAATATTTGACTGCTATTAAATGTATCATGTGTAAAATGTGTAAATATCTAAAGAACTCAAGAGCTAAGAGAACTAGTTCCATAAATGAATTTTTTAAAACAGGGCTTGTTATTTTGTATGGTTTGTGTACAAAACGAAAAAACTTACAGTAATCATCCAAGATATCAGGGGCATCCAGTATCCTGTCAGGAGCTTGTGGAATGTATCTAGTTGTATTCTTTACTGATGAGGGGACTTTAGCCTGAAATATTAAATCAATAATTAGTATACAGTTCCATATTCGTATTTTAATAACAGTTTATATAATGAATATTTTGAAGAGTAAAATCAAACAGGTACAGTAAAACAATGATTAGTATATGTTAGAATAACCTTCTTTATTGTAGAACAGAAAATGACAAGAAACCAAGACACCAATGTAAATAAATATAAAACACTGTGATAGTAATGAATGCTAAGCTTTCAAAGTTTTAAGAACAATATCCTGAAGAAATAGTTTCAAATACAAACAACCAATATTTTTAAACCAATCTCCAACCCATTTGCGAAGAGTGGAGATTTGAAAAACCATCTCAGATAGTCTTATCTGTTGAATTATCATGGGCTGATGTTTTTCCATGTTAGTTAAATTGGCATAATGTAAGTAGAAGCAAGCGGGTATACCTGTGAATACACAACCCTAAGTCTGTTCTGGTATCCTTCAGGAGCTGCAGGTGCCTTACAGGTGTACTGCAGGAGTCTGCCTGGCTCCGTGTCTGTTAAAGCTCGTCCTATAGCTTCACCAGCTGCTGATTGAGGAGCTGAGTCTTCGTTCCTATCGTCATCACGGCTCATCTGTTTGTGATTGAATTCATGTGTTTAATGTATGGGTATTTTATAAGTAGAATGGTTTAGACTTACATTTAGAAACAGGAAAGTAATGAAAATTAAGGATGAATGTATTTGTATTAGTTCTATGGTCTGATTATGACAAAATGATTACAAAAAGTAAAGAAGTTACAACTGTTTACATAACATCATGCCTTTAATTCCCGAAAGGGGTAGGAAGAGGTGCACATTACGGCACTTAATGCCACTGTAAAGTGTAACACCCACTTTTCACTATTTATGTTATGAGTCCCATGTAATACTGGTGAGCCTATTGCTTGCTATACAGACTCCATGCTACTACTGAGAATTATTTTTTTTTATTGAAACCTGAGAGGCCTTGCCTGGCAGTCGCACTTGCGACCACTCGGACAATGAGGCAGTCTGTTAGTCAGTGTTGACTGTTTACATTTTAAGTAATAGGTAAGTAAATACAGTTTTTTTCTGAAAATTAATGTTACCAGATGTTACTTAATTTAGAAAATGTGAAGAACAAGAAATATCTTAACTTACCATGTAATGGCACAGGTCATAATTGGAATTACTTCTAGAGGGAATAAATCTGTCAGCTTTATTTGGTGTTTTCGATGCTTTGTTTGGAGTAGGAGTAGTTGATCGACCTGAAAGGTATAGACGGATAACTTTTCCTTCGAAATTGTATGTCCCGCATCTAAGGTAACAGAACAGGCAAGAATGCAGTACCATCTGACCAAAGCAGGGCAAGAACTTTATCAGGCAACTAAAGAGGCAGGTTGAAGCATAACTAACTACTAGCACTAATGTTCCTGAACTACTTGCTTCCCCAGACAAAAATAACACAAGATGCCCAAGTGGCCACTAAAGAAAAAACCATGCTATGTCAACAGAGGTCCTGCCTGTGTTGTTTATCAAACAAGTTTACCTGGAGATTTGTTTTTGGACGGTGTCTTCTTGCCCTTCTTGTTGTCATTCCGCGTTGGAGTCTTGTTCGTAGATATCACACTGTTGTTACAACTTTGGTTCGCCGATATTGACAACTTTTGCATGGACTGGTTGCAAGAACTCAAATTTATGTTGGAATGATTCTTGAACGAGGTACTTAACGGGTTTATGTTTTCACTGTTAGATTTCTTCGCCCAACGTTGAAGGGGACCTCGAGTTATCGGCCCGTCCATTGTCGCTAAACTATTTATTTCATTCAAGTAGTTAAACTGGGCCATACTTTCACTAAATCAATTACTACACTAGACTATCAAACACTGACAATAAAATATAAGCTTTCTCATTCATAAAGTACGAGAAATACTCAAAAGAGATAAACCATTTATTCATCAAAAGAATAAAATCAAAATTCCGTTCCACTGACAGTTGATTCTAAAAAGTACGTTGGTTTTGAAATGTTTGAAAGAAAATATTTCGAATATAATGTTGCCATGTAATTATTTTACCCCTGTTTGTTGAAAATAATAAATAAATAATTGTTAAAAGACATCTTAAATTTTAGTACTTTGGTTTTCTCCTGTAGCCTGCCAAACATTTTTGTATTTTATTAGATATACAAGTTAGTATCAGTTAGGACGATGAGATGATTTAAGATTTATAGAAAAACATATTTTTTTATACTGTAATTATAATTAACTTTCTTGTCAAATAACAAGAATATTCTTATGTTATAAGCTTGTCATTCTGATGTCATGTCATGTCTTAAAATTATAATTATTCTAAGGAAATATACTACAGTGTATGGGCACACCATAAATGTTGCAATATACTAAAAAATGCTTTTATAGCTATAGTTTGTCTATTTAATCCTGAAAATATAAATTGTCCATAGATTTAATCATGGCGAAGAATGTTTCCTTGGGTAACTAAAACTATGGCAATCCACGTATTTTAATTTAGTGTTGTCATAATGTTAATGTTTCCAGTACTTCACACATTCGTTTTCAATAATAAAGAGACTAATTATATGAATGACGAATGAATTAATAGAATAGGAGGCAAAAGAGTAGACGGATCACCTGCCTATGGACAACCGCAACACCAGAGAAGTCACAGGTGCGTTGCCGGCCTTTTAAAAAGGAATACGATCTTTTCTTGAAGGTTTGAAGGTCGTATCGGTTCGGAAATGTCGCGGAGAACCTAACGGGTTACCGGGGCTCCGGCTCGACGTGCAGGAGAAGGAACGGGGTGGTTTTTAGTCAGTAAGAATCTGACACTCCCTCACGCCTCACCCAGGCGGGAGCAGTCATTCGATGATATTCCCCGCTTTAAAAAAAAACGGTTCGGAAATACCACCGACGACAGATCATTCCACAGTTTTGCTATGCCACATTCAAGCCTATTACTTCCTATTAGTTGGATTTTAGTACAACTGTACTTCATAATTTTAAAATCTAGAAGTTAAATCACTGCCTCACAGAAAATCGTGGATATTCCTAGCAAAACAACGAAATTTTCGAACCCCGCTTAAGGGATCACCCTCAGAAAGACATATTTTCTGATTGAAGGATGGGGCTGGCCAGCTGGAAATATTCTTGGTAAAAATTTACCCACTTAGAAAATCAGGGGTTATTTTTGAACTAGGTACTTACCTCTAGTTTTTGAGATATCCAGTTTTCTGTAAGGGTCGGGGTATCAAAGGCTATGTGCAAAGCGAGTAAGGCGGACAGATAAAGACCGCAGCGCACAACACGGCAGAAATCGGAAACAAATGCGGATGATCAGTTGTCAAATGTGTTGATTGCAGTACAAAATCAACAAAATCAAAATCAAATCAAAAATCAAATCAAATCAAAAAATGTTTATTTCGTTATTACACGTTAACACAAAGTTACACAGTTGGTGGCGTCTCCTTTTAAGCATATAAATGCCTGTACTAGGAGGCGCCGCTCTTTTATATCATACAAGTGTAATACGTTACAATAGTGAAAATGAATAATTGAAAGTCTAGTAATATCATAAGTCTGTTTGTGTGTGTGTGTGTGTGTGT